GGGGAGGGTATTGTCTAGTTATGTACTATAAAAAACAAGGGCAAAGGGTCAAAATTACCCCTCTACTATTGTTTATTGGTTACATGTGTCACCCGTTACACTTTTCGGCCATTCTTGTCCCTGCCGTTAATGAAGTTTGTAAAAATACCCCTAACCCTAATGTTTTGACACTGTGGCAGCTGACCACATCAATTTTATCCATGTCAGCTGCCATGTCATTAATTAATCACACCAAAGATCCTTCCTACAAGTTTTTTTTTTATCTAAGAAATCAAAATTTAGAAGGGACGCCAAAGGAGGAGAGGTTAAAACCAAGGGACGCATGTCAAGCTTAATCCTATTTTAATCATTTTGATTTTCTTCAGTAATTGGTTTCTTGTGTTTCTTTTTTCTTTCATTTCAGACAAAATTCGAATCATTATTTTTTTTTACAAATTATTTAGATATATAATTTGGTTTAATCAATTGTATATCATTAAAATTTCACCAGATTTTTTCTTTATGGGCATGTAATTAAAATCAAACAAGTTACTCACTTGGCGTATGTTTAATTCGCGAATTTTGCTCACTATACAAGTGGATGGCTTAAAAGGATATCTTCTAATACCCCTTTTTCTTATTTTTGTATAGATCTATGTATGTGTGCGTGTTTTCCCCTGACTTTGGCATTTTGTCGAGCACCTGGCATGGTCGACTCTGCAGAATTTGTTTTCTTCAGATTCGAGAAGATTGGCCCGTTGTTGTTGTCGTTTGAGGTGTTGGGAGCAATCTCCTCATCAGCAAAAATCATTCCGCATTGGTTTTGGTCGATTTGGACGACCGTAACTCCATTTCCGGCCACCTGGTGCTCATCGGAGAGTTGCAGAGGTTTGGGGACGACGATTGGCACGGTGGAATAGCTAGTATGAACTAAATGAAGTGGCCGGAAATTTCTTTTTGTTCATGATAGTTGTGGCCCTCTCTGTAGCTGTTGTACAAGGATTCAGTTCAAGAATCAAGTATGGGAGTTTACTCGTCGACACTAATATTAATCCCGTTTAGTTTTGAACTTTGGTCAAAGCGGTCCTTAGTAAACAAACGTTCCAAAACAATACTGAAAGTGAATTGCAGCAATTACCTAGCTTATGTCAGTATGTGCCAAATCGGATTTGCTGCCGTCTTGGTTTGGATTAATTTTGAAATAAAATCAAAAACCCATTTCGGGTTTTCATGTTCACAGATCTGAATATTTAATAGATGTTCAGTGATTTATTGTTTAAATCTTCTAAAAATCATTTATTTGTGTTAGATTCGGAGTTTAACACTTATTTCATCAAGATTTAAGAGAAGAAAACTTGAAAAGTCCATTTCTAAATAGTGAAAAGAGTTGAAGAACTCTTCAAGTTCTTCAAAATCTGGAAAAGTCCTTGTTATTCGTTGAGCTCAACTGAAATGGAGTCTCTAGGGTTTTAACTTGGTGTGATTAATTAATGACATGGCAGCTGACATGGATAAAATTGATGTGGTCAGCTGCCACAGTGTCAAAACGTTAGGGTTAGGGATATTTTTTCAAACTTCATTAACGGCAGGGACAAGAATGGCCGAAAAGTGTAACAGGTGGCACAAGTAACCAATAAACAATAGTAGAGGGACAATTTTGACCCTTTGCCCATAAAACAATAAACAAAATAATATATACAAAAACAAAAGTCAATTGTTGTTGAATAGTCAGCTTAACCTTATATTGTCGATGCTCATGACATAAATATAACTTTTTATACAAGTTGTATAAAAATTAAAAGTAGCCTTCGAGCAACAGTAAAATTGTAATCGCGTAACCTATTGGTTACGGGTTTGAGTCGTAAAAGCAGTCATTAATACTTACATTATGATAGATTATCTACACTACACCCCTCCGGGTGCGACCCTTCCTCGAACCCTACGTAAAAGCGGAACGCCTTATATATCGGGATGCCCTTGACCAATGGGAACGTTCTTTTTATATACATTAAATTAATTAACAAATAACACAAGCATTTGGATTTTCCTCTATACTATAGACCCTATAATGTTGTGTCATATCAGGATTATAATTCTTGTAAAGTTTTACAAGTTCTGAAACTTGATCACTCTCTTCTTTTTTGTTTCCTCCATTTTTGTTCCCACTTTGATCATTTTTGTTATTTTCTGGCTCTTTTGCTGGCCCTACTGTTAATATTTCTGGATGCCATGTTTTCTTCAATTTTCTCACCACTTCAACTGGATCAATATCTCCTACTATTGTTAATTTCTTCTCTTTCATATCAATTGATAGATTTTCAATCCCTGTTGAACAAAAAAGAAATAATAATAAACATCACTTCTGATGAAAATTTTAGAGAAAATGATACTGTATAGCCGCTTTTAAATAGCCGAAATATATATATATATATATATATATATATATATATATATATATATATTTGTATATTTTTTGTATGTATATACATTATGTATGTTATATATAAAAATTATATAAATTTTATACACATTTTCGGCTATCGAATGTAAATAATTACTGGTGCGGGCTAAAAGTGGAAAAAATCCGAAATCTTAATTGAATTTATATATGTATAATTGATAATAGGTGAATTTGACTATAATCACGCACCGAATAACCACCTTCTTGTGAACTTTAATGTGGAAAAATGACAACAAAATGCTCTTATTGGTACTTTTCATGATTTGCAAGTGATATAGGTGTAAGGAAGGCTAAGGAGCAGTTTGGAGTCAACTATTGATGAAAAAAAAGGCTAATTGTTGCATTTCCCAAGTGACCCATTCAAAACAGGCCAAATTGCCCGGATACAGGGTCTACCGCGGTTCCACCGCGACCGCGGTGAAACCGCGGTGGAAGGTAGTCTCTGAATAATTGAAGATCCGCGAGGGTATTTTACCGCGGTTCTACCGCGATCGCGGTAGAACCGCGGTGGACACAGAAACTTCGGGGACCAAAGTGTAAAACACGGGATTTTTAGACCTAAACCCTATTTTAAACACTAGACTTCGCCCAAGAGAGATATATATTGATTTTTTAGGTTTCTTAGCAAGGGGAACAAGTGTGAAAAAGTACTCTAAACATCTTTCTTCTTTTCTTTTGATTTTATGATGAATTCAAGTTTAGTTTATTCTCCCATAACTATGAGTAGCTAAATTTCTTGTCTAAGGCTTTGATGGAACCTATTGGGTGATGAACTTCTTGTTTATGTGAATACAAATTGCTAGTTTAATCTTTATTTGTTCAACTTCGTGTTCGTTGTAGTTAATTGACAGGATCCTAAATTAGCTGTGCCTATTTAGTGTGCATAACTTGGAAAAGAGTGCATATTTAGGGTTTTGTTGAACAACACCACTCCTAGATTATTAGAGGAATCTATAATTGCGGGTTTAAAGGCGGGATTAGGAATAACGAAGCCTTGGGTGCAATCTAAAGTGAATTGTGCTAAATAAAGTAAGCTAGTATCTCGGGAGAGTGCAATAGTAGATTACTGTGATTACTCGGGAGAGATTTGCGGTAAGATTAGTGTTCATGATTGATAGAGGTGTGTGGGTGAATTTGTATGAGCATAAACAGAAGGGATTCCATCAATAGGGGAAATCATTGCCTTAGCTTTTTCTCATAATTGTTTACAACCCTTTTTATTAGTTATAGCATTGTAGTTACTTGAAAGTTAGTTAGTAAAGAACACTCAATTGAGAATTTAAATATTTGGGAAGCTGATTCTGAAGACTTGGTGGGTCTGAAGGTTGCAACTGATAGGTTAACTCTCTGTGGGATATCGACTCCGGACTTGTAAACCGGATTATATTTGCAGCGACCGCATTGTCCTTTTTATAAGGCATAGTTGGGCGTGATCAATAATTTTTTTATTATTTAAAAAAAAAAGTATTTATATGCACAATAAGGTTGACACTTGCTTAAAACTAATGCAAAGTGCATATCAATTACATCGGGAAGTAAAGTGTTAGAATCCCATTATCCAAACCCAAACCCAAACTCAAAGGGCAATCCGATGCACAAAGTATTCTATATTCACAAAAGGATCGCACGCCAATGATGTGATGTAAATAGCCTACTCTACTGCAAGCATTAGTGGTTGCTTCTACGGCTCTAACGGAGACCCAAACTCGTATACGAGTCAGAATTGTAATAATAGGTCCATACTTTTAGCAAAAAAATTTGTGTATGCTACTATTTCTAGAAATGCAAAAGATGTTTTGAATTGTGCGATCATCTTAGCTCCCGGTGCACTAAATTCATGTTATGTGCGGGGTCCGGGGAAGAGCCGGACCACCAGGGCCCATTGTATGCAGCCTTACCTTGCATTTCTGTAAGAGGCTGTTTTCACGGCTTGAACCCGTGACCTTCTGGTGACATGACAACAACTTTACCAGTTACGCCAAGGCTCCCGGCATTCTACCATCATGTTATCTAAAAGTTTAAATTGTTAGTTAAAGAGAACATATAACTATATACATAATTATGTCTTTACCGTACACGCTTCCTTATGTACGAGATTAATTCTTTTTTTCTTTTTTTTTTATGATTAAGAATGTGGAAATTCTTCTTTAACAGTAAATGGATGGAAAAAAACATAAAAATGAAGAAGAGGATTTAGTACCTGAGAGAGTAGAGACAGCTTTCATAGCCTTTTGTTTCCCTTTGTCATCATATACCTCTAATTTCAAAACAACTTTCTGCATAAATATCAAAACAAATTAAAGTCTGAAAATGATGAAGAAACTTATGAAAAAAACAAAAATAATAAAAACATAAAGAGAAACAGAAAAAAAAAGGAACTTTCAGCTTAAATTGTGAGTAATAAATTGTAGGGAGAAGGAAATTGTACGTACCTTCATTTTACTTTAATACAGTTTCTAGGCTAGAATACTTAGAATTTGTAAGAAATCAACAATTAAATTAATTATTTGAGAACTTGGAGGTGAGGATTAGAATGTAGAGATGATTATATATATATATATATGTAATGTTTTTGTCAATATTATATTTGGAGGTTAGTTAGGAGAAAGAAATTCCTTGTAGAACAAGGAAAAAGAGGAACAACGTGCTGAATAAAATAAAGGAAATAATGCTAAAAAGGACAATTTTTGGAAAGGAAGAAAAATGGACAATTTTTTATAAAGACTTGATCAACGTCTTGAGCAAGCTAATGAATTTTAGTCTAGAACGCCAATATACAAATAATATAAAAGAGTCGTGAGATATAAGGAGAGGCGGAACCAGAATTTGAAACTTATGATTTCAGAGTTTTTTTTTTTTTTTTTTTTTTTTTTTTTTTTTTTTTTAAGTTAACCGGTTCTAACTCAATAATTTGCGCATATTCAATGAATTTTTAAAGATAAATATAATATTTTGGATCAAAAATACTGGATTCGGTTGAACCCGTAATCGAAGGGCCGACTCCGCCCTTGGATATAAGGGTAATTTCTTCAAATAATGAGCAATATTATTTATTATGGGGCACTTTTCGCTTCATGAGAATTAATTTGACTAATTTTGAAGTTAAATTGGATTAGACCAACTTAATATTTTAAATTTAAATTTTAAATATTCAAAAACTATAAATATTATAAGTTGCAATTCTTCTAATGTCAATATAATTAAAAAATGCATTATCAAAATCTCAACAAACGAAAAGTGTCCCATAAATTGACACAAAAGAAGTAAATATTATTAACGGGTGAGTCAAATCCTTAGATAACACGTTGGAGCGAGGAGTACTAGTATATCAACAATTGCAGATAATTTTATTTAATAAGCAATAATTAAAAAATCTACACTAAAATCGTAAGTAACCTATTATAATAGGATCAATTACACTAATAATATATAAATTTTTATCCTGCCAGCATATATAACTTTGTTATAAAATAATAAAAGAAGAAGAACAATATTGCAGAGAAAGAGAGAGGGGAAATTTTTATTGAATTTTGGGATGATTTACAATGGGGTAAGACCCCTCTATTTATAGGGAGAGAGTGACTTAGCCACCAAGTAATAAACCCTAGAATCTCTCTAAATCTAGACATTCACCATAAATACAATTCTATTTATAACACTCCCCCTTGAATGTCTATTCAACAAATAATGTGCCTCGTTAAAACCTTAACTAAAATAAAACCCAATGGGAAAAAAATTCTAGAAAAGGAAAAAGAGTACACATATCTAACAATACGCCTTTTGGTTGTCTCATTAAAAACCTTGCAAGGAAAACCCAGTGGGACAAAACCTTGTAAGGGAAAAAGAGCACAACGCGTATTAACTCCCCCTGATGAGAGCATCAATTCACATCTTTGAGCCTTCGCATCCCAATCTTGTGCACTAGCTTCTTGAAGGTCAACGTCGGGAAGGATTTAGTGAATAAATCAGCCATATTAACTCCAATCAATATGTTGCACCTTGAAAATTCTCGCTATCACATTATCATGCTTATAGTAATAGCGAAATACATTTGTGCACAAATTGCACTGAGAAAGTGGTACTTCAAGATCAAGAATTGTATATGCTTCAAGCAACTTAAATCCTTCATGGATTGTCATATAAGTTAAGTCATATAAGCCATATAATAGACTTTAGATGCATATCAGGTTTTCATGTCATGCTAAAACTGATTGCACATACCATTGACTTTATACTTTCAAGTGTTTGAACTGCAGGTCCAAAACAACATGTCTTTCATATGAAATCAATTCTACTTGAATTGTTTCTCTAGACTTAAGATGCTCATATATATTTAGCGCTATCATAGATGTTGTCGACAAACATTTTATATCAGTTTCAATATTTTTTCATAAAGACATAACATAGAGATCTCTTCATTCATATTTTCAGGTACCTGAATCTCTCTTGAGATTTTATGAAGTGTTATGTCATGTGATCTTCTAGATCACTTGCCTCCTTTATTATGATCATTTTGATCATTTGCTCATCTTCTTTATCAAGAAGTTTATTTGAAACCAATTTGTCTATACGCTTTAAGCGTACCATAGACTTTGTCTTTCTAGGACTTAATAGGAGCATTTGCAACGAGAATATAGTTACTTTCTTTGGGTCAGCAAATGCGTCTGGCATGCTTTGCAATAAATTGCACATGAATTATCCTTTTATGAACTTGAAGTTCATATTATTTTATTCGGGGATCTAGATGTATAAATGATAATTCATTCCATGTAACTTTTTCTCAACTGTTGTATCTTGTCTCCCCCTCATGTTTGAAAAACTAACTTATTTCCTCAACTTTGAGAACTCATCTTTGTGCATTATGGTATTAATCAAAATATACCCTGCACATCAATAATAATAAGATGAAATTATTTGGTTCCTGACCCTAAACCACTTGTTAGAGGAGAATGTAATATACTTTCGTATATAACCTATATCATACTGATATAGATAACTTTGTTCTCATAAGCAATAGTTTAGCTATTAAGTGGAGGCACTCAATAAATAATTTTGCTAAACCAACTGTGATGTAAACCAATTTCAAGATGAACTATCTTGAGTTAAAGTTCTGGAAATTATGCTCTAAATTAAATTATTGAGCAAGTTACCTCGCAAAACACCATGTTGCGGGTTAATAATAATCGCACATGTAACCATCTCATAGATGCATCTTATGTGGTATACATGATAGATGAATGGGCTCATATTCACCTTTGATATTTCCAGCATTCATGGGATTCAACCCCAATATTAGTTGGTATATTAATTAATGAGAACAAGCAACATAAGAGAATTCGTAAAGAACTTTCTAGTTCTTTAATATTTACCCATGTGAATTCTCGTTTATTTTTGCACATGATGCTTAAATTAATATGGCTAAACCAGTTATGCCAACTGAATAAATTATCAATATTGATAAACTTCGGATTTACACCATGACATGTGCAATTATCAATAAACTCCAAGTTTATTATGATATGGGTTTTTATATCAATAAACTTCTACTTTATTGTGACATTCTTTTATTTATGTAGTACAAATTGGAGAATAAAGCGGGTAGCTTTTCACATAGATATTATCCCGCTACAAGTTGTAGTAATAGAAGATATTAAATCTTTGCTTTATTTATAGTCTCAATATAACCAACCGCTTTTGCGAATACTTTAGAAACTCAATAAGTTTCTTTGAGACTTACTACAACACAACGTCTTATTGATAATCAATTTTCTCCAAAATAGTATAATTGGCTCTTCTAGAGCTCTCAATTAATTTTGTACTACCACATATTCATCAACATCCATATGGTGAATATCTCTTTTAAAGATAAAGTTATACCATTATGGTTATGGTCAAAATTATATGCAAGATATATTTCTTGCATTAATGTTATTCTTTAATAATTACATTACCAAAATATTTTAGCGTGCAATAGGTACGTGACCAATGACCATTCATGCCATAATAATGACATTATTTTCTTATATCATCTCAAACCTCCTTCTAGAGGTGAGTGCGTGGTATATTCACTACCACTAGCACGTTCATATTCTTTCAAGAATGAATATGTATTCATAAATCAGATGTTGTCACATTCACATCATGAATGGACCATAATCATCTATATGCGCTTTATAAAATCTCATGTCGAATCGATGACAAATATTACTTTCACAGAGTGAAGGATTATTTTGAGAATCCTTATTATTCTCATTATCACAATGATGACGATTATAATTTCGTCTAATACCACGTCCACATCCACTGATACCTTCACGGTAATAATTTTATCTTCTTTCAGACTTATCACATACTGCTATCACATTCTCTTAAGGGAATGAGAATGAAGCAAATTCAATGGGACGGGTATGCACTTCTTGTGACCATAATCATACATAAATTTGATCATGGCAAGACATAGGAATTTTACCACTCTGGGTGGTTATAATTTCTTTCAAACTCCATTAGAGTTAAAATCAAGATTTATTGTCTTTGCTTGTATTTAAAATCAAATTATAGAATATCAAGAATCTAAAAGAGAAAAATAAAGTAAGATACTTACCTTAAATCCAGAATTTAATCATGAAGAAAGTTCATGGAACAATTGACAATCATTATGCTCAATCCCAAAGCTTCTACTCAATTGGTTAGAGTCTCGTGCTGATAACGTGTTATAAAATAATAAAAGAAGAAGAACAATATTGCAGAGAAAGAGAGAGGGGAAATTCTTATTGAATTTTGGGATGATTTACAATGGGGTAAGACCCCTCTATTTATAGGGAGAGAGTGACTTAGCCACCAAGTAATAAACTCTAGATTCTCTCTAAATCTAGACATTCACCATAAATACAGTTCTATTTATAACAAACTTAAAATTTTAATTTAATTATGATTCGGGATGGTCAAAGCTTTCCAACGGGTTCACAATGATGTAAGCCCTTGCATTTAGTGGCGGAGCCATATTCAACTAAAGAGTGTCAATCGACACTCCTTCGTCAAAAAATTATACTGTATTGCTAGATAATTTTGTTGTTGTTTTATGTATATTTACTGTATGTTAACTCTCCTTAACTTTTTGGTGTATTTAATTTTTAATATTTTGACATCCCTTAGTGAAAATTCTGGCTCCGCCGGTGCTTGCATCAACCGAAAATTTTGTGTAAACTTCACTATATGTCTCTTAGTACTTAACATGAAATTACCAATGTATGCTCTAATCATAGTCATAAATCATAATCATGTGCTAATTATATAATTAACTTTTGAAACATTCCTTGGTGCGTAATCAGTCAAAAGGCTAATACCCACCCGTGGTTTTAATAACAAGCGTCTAGAATACGTTCAAGTAGTTTGGAGTTTTGTGAAAATAATTTAATTTGGAGTAAGGATTGATTCAAGATAAGGCTGCTGACAACTCATCAAACAAAATATTATTGAATTTAGTTTATACTCAGCGCAATTATATTATGTTGTAGA